CCCCAAAACCCCAAAACCCCAAAACCCCAAAACCCCATCCTCCCTAATCTCCATTGAACTTCTCTTAAGGAGTACCTACATTAAGCGGGAACGCTGTGAACTCAAACACCATGAACACTGCATGATGGACCACTAAGAGTCCACCCACTACTTTCTCAAAGGCTGACTTCTGCTTCTTGGCTAGGAGGTAGACGTACCCCCAGTGGTACACTGGGTGAGTGGAGACTACTCTCATGAGGATTTCCAGGTTGGCGAATAAGTTTATGAAGATGATCAGTAAAATGTAGTGTAAAATAATTGGGAGGAAGAATATCTGACAGAACTCAACTTTGTTTGGTCTTCTGAAGGATATTTCATCATCAAGGAAAGATTTTATTGCTGTATAAGTGCTGCTGGATGGATTGTGCGATTTAGATAAGTTGATATAAGCTTTTAAATTATTGTAGACCAATCAAATCAACCAGATATTGAAGAAATTTACTGGCAGTGTTGCAAAATATGAACTGTGGAGTCCCCTGTCTATATAAAATACAATTTAAATGCTTCAAAAGGCTGACAAAAGTTATAGAAACTACTCCTTACCTATAACTGTCTAAGAAAACCTGTGTTCCAGTAGACTTTTTGAATCTATAAATTATTGAAAAATTTACATGATCATAGAGGTTTGGAAATGCTTGGTGACACCATTCAGAAGGATTCTCGTCTTTGCAATACAGTTGATAAGGATATTGATTGACTAAGTAATAAAAACAATAGAGGAAGCATCAGAGAGTGAAATGGCCAAATGAGAACCAGAGAATCAAAGATCCTGAAGAGGTATTCAAACTTCTGTATCATTTTATTAAGATATAATAGCCAGGGATCAAGCTCAGAAGTCAGCTATTTGATCTTCAAGCAACATTTATGATAAAAATTATTGAGGCTCCAAGAATCTGAAAGAACCCTACATCATTTACTGGGTCTCTTTTGATAGTAGACTGGATTAGAGTCATTCCAAGGAGTGATAAGAATGTGTACAAGCTTTCTGTGTATAAGCTTATATAAAATCGAGTACAGAGATTTAGACAGAAGAAGAGAGTAGAGTATAAAGCAAATTTAGTTGATCCAAATCATTGCACAGAAAGGATATACAAAAGTATTCAAGACCCTAAAGAGAATAAATTTGATAGGATTAATCCGATCAGTATTTTAGAAATGCCTGAGGTCATGTCTGAGATGAAATCAATAATTATTTTATTTAAAGGGAAAAACACGTGCTGTCTTTCAAACTGATATCCATTCAGATAAATCTCCCTAAAATGCTTTCCATCCCAAGGAGTCAAGTATTCCATCCAAATTTCTGATATAGATTGTGATTCATCAATCTGCATATTGAATCTGATAAAAGCTGCATGGATGATGGGGATCAAGCAAAATATCAGTAGAAATCTTGTGATAATAAAGAAAAAGATGATTTTCGCTATATTTGACATCTTAATTCAAATTCTATTTAATTTAAACACAAAGGGGTTTTGGGGTTTTGGGGTTTTGGGG